AATTTATTCAATGCAGCAAAATAAATTTAAAAGATGTAATTAACATGATGTAGTGTTTCCTCTACCGTTATTGGACAACCCCCCCAGCTGTTGGCTTTGAGTAACTGCGGCCCCTTGAGCAATTTAATGGAACAGCCCTGAATTAAAAATAAAGTTTGTTTGCATCTTCGTCAAGTAAATGCCTTAAAAATTCTTAAAATATAGCACACTTGATTGTATGAATTGCCATAAAGCAGACATTGCTGCTTACAGACTTTGCTAAGTTTTGTCATTGATTAAAATGGATCTAAACTTATTTGCTWCTGCAGTTCACATTTTCACTTTCCTCACAAACATGGAGCCCACATATCACTGATTATATGATTTAGTTAATGAAGTTAAAAATAAAATCTAACTTCTTTAATTGAGGCAGACCAGGCAGCATCTTCAATTACAGCCAGGGGTKCCACCAAGGAGGGGCCAGGGGGGCCGTGACCACCCATAAATAATTGGTGGCCTCCTTTTTTTTTCATTTAAATATTTGTTTATAACCTTTGTTTGACCAGGCAAATCCCAGAGACTACAGATCTCTGCTGCATGTGAAAGCAAATGATGCTTTTGATATGTGGGAAGAAACTTTCTGGAGAAAAGCCACACAAGCATGAGGAGAACATGCAAACTCCACACAGATCCAACCTGGGGGTCGAACACAGGATTGTCTTGCTGCGAGGCATCAGTGACCACTGAGCCGCKGTGCTGCCAGGCACAAAAGCAAAATTTGAGAAAGCAGAAGCAAAAATGCAGTTTTGCCTGAGTTTTGTTAAAGCTTATTATGTTTTTGGGATAAAGAAAATATAGTTCGTAGGATTTTTTGGTTCTCCCAATCATTGCTTATAAGATCTAAGGTTATTTGTGGCTTTGCATCTGAGGGGCATACAGACTAAATGTTGGGATGTTTCTGTGAGTTAGTTATTTTTCAAAGCCCAGAGGCCTGTGAGGATGAGATCAAACTGATGCTGAGAACACAACTTCAGGCTGTTTACTAGATTTTTTTCCCCCTCTGATGGCTCACTCATCTTCTCACACACACATCAGTGATTTCCTACATCTTTGAACAATATTTGATGTGTAAAATCTGCACTGTTAAACACTACCAGCAAAAATTTAACAGGTTACMCATCCTGATGACAGGTTTGACTCGAAGCAACGCTGCAGCAGTGAAGCTGTTTTCATGCTCAAACACACACTGCAACGAAAACAAACATTTTTTTTTCCATCCACTTCCCTGATTTCACCRTGACCGTGTCAAATCTGATCTGTTCTGACACAGAAAACGACAAACCACAACAACTCTGCTGTTAACAAATGTAATTCTCCTGCCAGAAAAAGAGAGAAAAATCAGGCTGATAGTGAAGCGCTMCCACATATTCACTCATTTGCACTCAAATTCACCATCACGTGTGAAAGGGCATTAAGCTGATTAAGTGTGTGTGTATGTGTGTGTGTGCTGAATTTCCACTATCGGAGTGAGCAGCTGCTTTTATCGGCCTCTCCAGAAGGGCCTGCTGTTCAGCCATCTGGGTAACTCCTGGGCTCGAATCAGTCTAATCTTCACAGACGCAATAAACACGCCAAAGTCAGGGGGAGAGAAATCTCTTTATGTGTAGGAGAGGAAAAAATCTGTCCATGCCCTTGACTTCCTGAGATCTTAAAAAAAAAAGTCAGTAAAAATATAAAATAGTCCTTCAGCTTCACTCAGAGCCTCATAATCGTCCTAATCCTAGAATATAAACATGTAAATAAAGCATGAGTGAGTGTAGATACATAATATAGCAGAAATTAAATAAACTGGATTGTTATTTCCTGGGAGTGTTAATATTTAATYGGTTAAAAGTGACCGCTAAAGCCAGAGAGAGCCACTTGTTTGTGTGCGACAAACACAAAAATTAAAAACAGCTAAATTTAAAATCAACTTTAGAGCAAATATAGACAAAAACCCTAAAGCCTGAAATAAATTCAGTTTTCCATGAAAAAATGTATAATCTTGCCCTTGCAGCTCATTCTGTCAAGGAAAAACAAGTAACTTGATGGCTGAATGAACAAAGAGATAAGATATTCTTTCTTATCTTGTGTTTTGACATATTGTCTTGGCGCACCGGCCGTTATCTGAGTTGAACCGAAGTCCAGGTTTGATGAGTTCAGTGTAGCAGCAGCAGCAGAGTGGCTCTTCATCTGACTGCTGGAACAAAACTCTGTCTCTCAAGGAAATGTTGACTGTATTGTTTGAGATATTAAAAACTTAGTGTGATCATTTATATTTGATRTGTAGTTTTCTAAATTCATGTTTGATCATGTGTTTACTTTTTTTTGGTCAAATGTAAGGGTAGTTAGCACCACATTCTGTTTTTGTTGTGCAGTTAGTCTCTAAAACTCCTTTTCCCCATACATGAAAGARTTTTTTAATCGATCTTTGTGTGTTTGTACCTCAGGGAGGTGGTAAGCTTCAGAGGACGGACTCCTGGAGTGGCGAAGCGAAGCGAGTTTCTGTAGGTGACCTGCTGCACGGCCCGGTTGAAGCTCTCAATGTCGTCACCCTCCAGCACCAACACAGACTGGCTCGGGTTCACGTGGACCTGAGAGTTTATATCGACTTAAATCAGGACTCTATAAAAATTTAACACTTCACAGTTTTTGTTAAAGCTAATCTCTATGGTGACAAAACACGGAGTGGTTGTGGTCAAATTTATCTGGTGTGGAAAACACAAAGATTACTAAATAATTTTAATGAGTACGATAAATGTGTCAAGCAACATTTGTAAAGAAGGTAAATATCATAAAGTTTATTCCCTGTTTTATCTTTWAACCATGTCTGAATCCTTTGTGATAATCCAGCCATTCATACATCAAAACTTTATTTACAAACATTTTTCCTGCAGAAATGCACAACTTCAAAAACATTGTTGGCTTCAAAATCTGCTTCAGAATAACAGCTTTATTTTTGTCTTACTACCATTTTCAACTTTTAGATTTTAGCTAACCTTTAGATATTTTTAGCTTAGAGCTAGTCTTTCAGTACTTTTAGATTTTAGCTACCATTTTTACTACTTTTATTTTGCTTTTAGTGCATTTACCTTTAAGTTACTATTCTTTTACTTTTAGCATTTAGATAGATAGCATTTGGGCACATTTAGCCTTTTAGCTTGTTCTATTTTTCAGCTTTTAGCTACCATTTTGCTACTTTCAGCTTTAAGCTAACCATTACCTACTTTTAGCTAGCTTTTTGCTAATTTTAGCTTTTAGCTACTGCTGTGCCTCTTTTAGAAATTAGATAACATTTTGACACATTAAGCTGGCCAATGCTACTTTTAGCTTTTAGGTAACATTTTGCTACTTTAAACTGGCTTTTACTTTGAGTTAGTCTACATTTCATTTTTTGCAAACATTTTGTCTCTTTTAGCTAGAATTGTGCTAGTCTTCTATTACTTTTAGCAAATGTTTGCTTCTTTTAGATTTAGCAACTTAGCTTTAGCTTCTACAGCACAATTTAAACACTAGTTTTACAGAAAATGCATTTTTCTCTAGTCCTTTTCATGTTTTAATTTTATACTCAACAGTTTCTGGTTCTGATGCAACATGATGTTACCTTCATTCCAGACCCCAGGGTCTCCAGATCTCCAAAATCCAGCCCCTCCCTGCAGGCGTACAGACACTCCACCACGCTATGAGGCTCCACGCTGCCAGGACGCACCGTCACCCCCGACAGCAGCCCATGGTAGCCGCCCACATACTTCACTAAAATGTGAACACCCATAATTTTATCTCTCATTATTTTATAAATTGCACTTCAACAACTGGTGACAAAGAAAAGCAGCTCACAACTTTGTGAAACATGTAGGTCACCTGAGTCTTTCCCCTCTGGGATTGTGTTGTTTAGAATCTCCTTCTGCTTTTCTTCAGGCTCTGCTGGGAAAACCAGAGAGGAGCAAAATAAAAAAAACAGAAAACTATAAGCCACACCGAGMAAAGCACTTTAGAGGAGTGAGTCATGAAGAGACAGGCAGACTAAATCTGAAGGTGCAAAGATAGACAGAAAGAAGGAAATATATATTGTATATAAATAAATAACACAAGCRGGAAAACTGTAGAGGATCTTCAAAAATGCAACAACTCCTCATTATCTGGCAGCAGCTGCTCCCACACAGCCAACACACCCAGTGTGGATGAAAAACTCAATGCGTGTGTGTGTTTCACTGGTAATTGGCAGCCAGTTTCCCATTTTAACGAGCAGTTYGAGTGTAAGTGTCTCATAGCTGTCTGCCCCCTGTGTTGTTCTTCTGCTCTAAATAATTGATAAGTCATTTATATTATTAGACYTTAAAAACAAAACGCAGCGAGGAATTGAGTAAAATGAGGGCGAAAGAAAGAAGCATAACGCAAAACGTCTCAGCAGTTCGTCCTGAGATGCCTTATGAGGGTTCATGACTATAGCCAGACAAATACGTACGGCTATTTTTAGAGGTGGTATTTGATTTAAATTACATTTCAGTATTGAAGGAATATATATATAAAAAATGAAAGGAAACTGCGCACATCATATTTTTTATGCATGACATTAAACGCATCATTAAGCTGGAATGAAATTTGTTYTAGTGAGCATAAAATTTACCCCAGCAGGCGCCGATGAGCATCCTCTGACGGGGTGCAGGGTTGGGGATGGCCCCATTGTCGTGAATGAGAGCGGGGTCAAAGGTCACACCGTCCACATAGAGAGTCACTGATGGGAACTGGACACTGAGAGAGAGGTGGTGCCACTCGCTGTCACACACCTGTGGGCGGGAAAGCATTGAGTCAAACTAAAGCAAAAACAAAAAAAACATGGAAAAATCAGTGGAAAAAGAAGAATTATGATCCTTTTTCACTTAACAGAGGCTGCTAAGYCCAACTCCAAAGGTCAGGCTCTTTGAAAATAAATCTGAGAGGTTGAGAGGTGACTAAAGTGGTAAAAAGCTGCACGATGTCAGAGAAGCAGCTGAAATATTATCTTTAAATATCATATTGACATTAATGATTGTGATAAACCCACATTTCCCTCACTCTTCATTTTCTGTTCTGTCATCACAACRCTCACAGCACTCTCCCTTTAGCAGCTGGGCTACAATTATCTAACCCTGGAGGGGGCATCAAGGCCAGCAGGAGTCCATCTGATCGGCCAAATATATCATTAGCAGGCAGAGCATAAAAAATTGCTTTTGGAGTACGATCAGTCGGGGTACAAACCCAAAAAATCCTACCATTTCATTTTGTTGTACTTTGTTCTGTTAAAATTTGTCTTTTTAGCAATTTGTTTACATCCATTTAAAAATGCTTAAAGTGGAGATGCATTTTGAAGGAATGCTGGAAAATTCTAAATGTGACAAAAAAGGCTGAAATATTTACTTTAAAGAATTAAAAGCAACACATTTCATCCACCRCCTTTTATGCTAGAGTTTTAGGTTAAGATCATCTTATGTTGATAAATGAGTTGTAATTATTTCRGTGGGAGGAGCTTGTTAAAGACTGACTATTTTGGGTGGAGTTTGCAGAACGCTGGGCAGTTGGGGCAGACATATAAATTGGTCAAAACATCCAGAAAGCATCCATAACTTTAAATTTAAATAGTAATTTTAGTCATAACTCGAGGCGGGAAGGTGCTAGACACACAAAATTGAACACAGTACATGTGGAGGGATGTGTAACAATGAGGCTAGACCCGACATGAAAAATATTGCTATTTTTTAATATGAATATTAATATTAGTCATAACTTGAGACAGGAAGGTGTTAGTCGCACCGGTCAATAAATTTTGTTTACATGTTCACAATCATTTTACTTTTACTTCAGATTTTAAATTGACCWAAGACAAGTCAATCTGATCAATCACAGTTTTGACAAATTCTGCCCACACAGCTAAGAAACTCCTCCTATATACTGCAGAGACCCTACGTGTGCAACATCATAACACGTGACAATCAGACTGTGTTTTCTGAATGACTCTTAACTACTACTACAGCAAATTTTAGGTCTGTATTTGTAAAACTGACTGAGTTATGGCAATTTTTCGAGGTTTCTTTAGGSTCAGTGTGCTACGGCAGCCATCTTGAATGAGGTTGTTGWGTTGTAGATGCACATCAAATGATTGCTTTCTGTTTTTCAATAAAATCCAGTGATTATTACATTATTTGTTATCTGCTATAGACAAATGAACACACAGAGGAAAAGCACTATTGCTTTGGGCATAAAACAGACAATTATATAGTGTATGTTTGAGTAGGGATATAAGGAAAGCATTTGAATAAGCATCCTTCATATAAATTGGTGCATTTATTTTACTTTTTATAAACAAATTAAACAAAACACAAACATGTCAGGAGTTATAAAGATAGGAGGGGTTGAGAGGGAAGGAGCAGGGTAACAAGATAACGCGGTTCAGACAGAAGGATTTAACAAATCTTTTCTGTATCAGCTCAGCTTCTTTTAATCCAAGTGACTTCAATCTGTCTGAGGCGGGTGGATTCAGTCAAAACAAACCTTCTTTCACCCCAGCAACACACAGCAAACCACACAGACGCACAAAGCTTGCATGAAGAATATTAAAGAGGTACAGTAACTCCTTATTTTCATGCATTTTGGTGCACAAACGCATGATTATGATTACAAATGATTTTAGCAGTTTCACAGATGMACCAAAATAGTGTAGACCTTTAAAGGAAATGCTTTATGTAAAAACTCTACAGACCGTAATAGATGTATTTACTTTTATGTAGAACTTATTTTTCAGTCTGAAATAMAAGAAAGTTTAAGTAATGTGTGGAAAAACAGGGTATCAAGTGTCATTTGTTCATTTCCCTGAATGTATTATAGCTAATAAGTTGATATGATGAGGAGAAAAACAATCACATGTAGCAAAAACTGCCATCATTATAAACAGGCAGGTTTTGTGTGTGTTTATATGTCTGTCTGTTAGCAAAATATCTCATGAATCACTGAACAAATAATAAAACTCACAGAGAATAATAACTGGACCTTCATCTACAACTGATTAACTTTTGGAGTCAACCTGATTTGAGCTGGCTGCCACAGTCAAATGAATTTAAAGGGGCTAGTTCATGTAAAATCAACTTTTTTGAGTTTTATATCACATTATAATGTTATCCTCTCATGAAAACCATGCCCAGAGTCTTGCTTTGACTCATTCATGCATGTTTGAGAAATCCTGTAGTGTCCTGAGGCAGCCTATCCTGRCCCTTGCCTTCCTACGCAGTTCCGCTCAATTCTAGTTTCCCTTCACTGCTCCSTCTGGGATTTCTCCCATTGACAAGGATTTCTTCGGGAGAATTTTCATCCGGGCCAATCAGAGAACAGAACATTGATTTTCTGCTCAGTGTCTGCTTGTAGTTTATTTTACCTGGACCAATCAGCAAACAGAAGGCGGAGTTTTGAATGACGTCGATTTTCTGCGCAGTGTCTGCTAGTTATTTTACCCATGGCAGTGGAGGAAGTGAATGAAGGCAGGCCGTGTTGATATTAAATTTGTCTGACAAAGCAGCAGCTCTCATTTACACCCGCCTCGTATGACTCTGTACTTTTCTCCTCTCAGTAGRGTTGTTTACAGCGCATGCGATTTCCGGTTAGCTTCTTAGCTTAGCCTCCTTCACAGTGGAGCTGGCACACATACGTTGCGGCCAAACGATCCAATCATTTTAAGCTTCAGCAGAGGCCACGCCTCCAGCAAGAATCACTTCTCTATAGCCGAGAGTCCAGACCCTCGTACGAAGCAAASTGAAGGACAAGGGTCTGGTTTTAACCAGGCTAGAGGCAGCCAGGCAGGGGAGCAAAAACCGGTTGGGACTAGAACCACCTTTTGGGTTCAGCTCCTCCTCTGGGCTGTGTCTCCGAGCCGAGCATCCTCATAACAGAGCCACCCCCCGCACCCCGCCCATGACTCCTGCAGGCTCTCGACAGCAACAAAGCAAACAACTGGTGACACTGAAAATGAAACCGGAACTGAAACTCTCTGCTGAGATCCCAGTATTACTTCTCAGTGCAGTCCTTTTCAGATTCAAAATACATTTTGAGAAAATGTACTTTCAGATGCCAAGTAAACCTATGCCAACTATGCCAAGCACCCCCCCAATTTGTTCGAACTAAAAAACTTAGATTCCTACTTTTGATACCCAGTCTGTCGACCAGAAGAAGGAGCTAATGAACAAAACCCGCATGTGAGCCACCAGAACACCAACAAAGAAGAACATTTGAGTCTTTTTACCTTTCCAATGTTACCATTGTGCATTTTGCGCCAAGTAAAAAGTTCATAAAATTAAAATTCTTACAGAACATAARTCTATGGTATTTCATCCAGGAAGAACTCTGGTTTGCTACCTCATTTGAACCATGTAAACTTTTTTGCCCCTGCCTCTAAAAAGAGTCAGAATTGGAAATCATTACTGTTCAAAATCAAACAATGTCCGATCCTAATTATGAACACTAACAGATTACGCAAGGTCTTTGTTTAAAAGTTTGCATGCATTCCTTCCCGGTGTGCTAGGCCTTTAATTATATCCAGATAAGAAAAATGTTCAACAAGCTCTGTGGTCGATACAGAAATTGATTTCCATCTTGCCATCTTTTCACAGGTAACGAACTGCGCAATACTTCAATAAGAGAACAGTTTCTAAGGATGGATGATGCACACAGCATGAACCAATAAAAATTATCCAGTTACTACAAAAAGTCTGGAAGATGAAGGAAAAAAGGCTTTAATTTACTGCAGAGGAAAAAAACTGTGCTCATTCAATTAAACTTGAGTACATTTTAGTAATTACAGCTACATTTTGAGTGAAACAAAGAAGAAGCCRTGCAGAGAACGAAGCATTTTTCCTTGTACCTGCTCCAATTTCCACAAGAACTTGACGGGCCGTGCTGCCGAGACGTCGGGCCAATAGAAGAGGGAGAGCCGGCAGCCGTGAACGGAGAGGGCGTAATGAGAGTAGGAGTCATCTGAAGAGAAAAAAAACAAAAGGAATTAAAATGATTGTTGCTGGATCTTTTTGTAGTTTTTCCAAAAATAAATTTTTGGAAAAACTACAAAAAAGAAAAAAACAAAATCACTTTTCTTTTATTCTGACGAGTGAATTTCTTCAAGAGAAGGCCTGGTTTTCTTGTAAATTACACACGATATTTTTAGGCACGATTACAGTGTTTTGCTGTTTTTCTGCTGTCCACTCAGCTGCACAAAGGTGACAGCTGGAAGTYGAGTGCCTCTCACCTCAACAGCTTGATAATATTTGTTGAGGGTAAAATCAGATTTCTTTTTTTAGACTTTGATTTTACTTGTAGATCAGAATATAAGATGATGGATGAAAGAAACAGCATGCAACCATTGCAATATCCCATCAAAGTGCACATAAATCATTCAAATTGCAGCAAAACCAGGGTGTCATTATAGCCTAAGAGATGAAACACACCATTCTTAACAGTGCTGCAGACAATCGTCTCCTCATCCTTGCGGTTTCCCCTAGACTGAGTGGTTGAAGACTGGCTGTTGGCAGCCCCCCTACGCATCCACAGCTGAAGGGTGAAATGGTCTCCTGATAGCGTGGACACGATCGGATCCGGCACGGCTGCAACATGATTTGACCCGTTGAAGGAGAAGACCAGAGATGAATCAGAAGAGGGAAGAGTGGGCAGAGCGGCGGTCCAGTTAGCTGCCGGAGATGGAGGTGGGAGAAGGTCCACTTCGCCCCTGACAGCACCTGAATAAATCAAAGTAAAAAAAAAGAAAAGGCTTAAATAAAAGCAGATTTTGACTCTTGATTATGACTGCTTTAGTTAAACTTACCACACAAGCGACGCACAGATCTGTCAGAATAACTGTCTCTGTCACAGCCCTTCCCAATGTGGCCGGTCTGGAGCTCTACGGTGGCCTGGATGTTCCACACTGTCTCTTCACAGGTCTCCAAATGCAGGCTGGGGAACAGAGGGATGCTTCCTGACCCTGGTGTGTACTCTACACGTTTTGTCCATCCTAGAAAAAAAACAAAACAATACCATAACTTTACAAGTTATTGGGCTAAATTTGAATTCRAAATAGATGGAAACTATTAAAAACGGAGCAAACAACAGAAATCTGCATAAACAATGTGATGAACTATAAACAGAATGATAAAAATCAAAGATGTCAAATGTTATAAAATGTTTCCTGAATTTGAAGATGAGAGCTTTGAAAAAACAATCATTGCTGCCACTTGCATCACTTTTTTAATTTCACTCAATAAGATTAATATTCAATACTGAAGGTGCCCTCAGATATGAAAGTAACTCACGTCATGTGCTTCATTGCACCCTGATATGTTCACAGACTTTTGATCTGTTTAAGAATAACAATCAGACTGGTTCTTCTCCTCTGAAGCAGCATCTACGATTTCCAGGTGTCAAATTTGACCACAATCCATCCTTAATAAGCGCCAAATTTAGTTTTCAAAACAAAAGGAAATTCATAAAATCTTTGCAATTTTACACTATAAAACATATTTTTTTTGTTTACAATAGTAG